ATACTTATCCCTAATATCTTTACCTGTTGAAATCTATTTTGCAAAAGATCTGTTCTCCTTGAAAACGCACAAACGAGATGATAAAGGATACATCCACACTAATATGTGTGCATTTAAAACATAAGCCATTTCCATCCAGATGTGCATTTCAGCACCATTCCAGATATAATCCACATACATACCAACACGCCTGACCATTAACGCACATTTGGCGCGTGAAAGTCGACATAAACATGAACCAGGGGGTTAGATGGCTGCCTATTTGTAGAAAATACTATGGAGGAGGAACAGCAATAGCAACTATAAGAACAAAAAATCCCTCAAATGCCCAACTAATTCATTATCCATGTTGAATTAACCACAAGGCACAAAACAGTCACGGGAAAGGATATAAATCAAAAAGCAAACATGTGTCTGCATCATCCGCTTCTGCCAGTGCCGTGAAAACAAGCTGAAACAGAGTGAGCAGTGTTTATAAAAATCTCTCGTTTTAATCAAGTAGTGTGGATGCTAGGTGTAAATGTAGCAGAAGTTCTGATTTTAAAATGAAAACAAGTAGTGCAGCCATAGCCAAAGTGCCATATTTACACCCGTGATTAGTCCCACAAACTGAAAAGTCACATAAATCCACCACTTCCTGCAAACTCGAGCAAGTCTGAGAAAAGCTGCAGGTAGCAGCAGTAACCTTAGCTTGGTAAAAGAAGAAAAAAATAGAGCTCGTACAGTAGCTTTTCGTCTCTTGATCTCAGACATGCTTGTTTACAATTCATCTATTAAGACCAGAGTGATCTGAGATAACAAGAACGGATCATAGTACCAGCTGTAAATGCAGAATCCCAGCTCAGATGTTAGTATCCAGATAACATATCCAGATACAGTATCACATGTTCACACCAGATGTAAATGAGGTGCAGGTGTCAGCAACTCAAGCTTCTACACCCTTTACCACATCAGTCAATTCATCCCTGGACTACAAAAACAGTCTTTTTTTTAGTTCCATATGCTGTATTTTAGAAGTTTATATCAACTAAAACCTGGATTGAACTCATTTTTCCCAGGACATTGTGTACCAGAGATGGTAATCCACCCAGATCCTGCTGTATCTCATGTTTTAATCACTGTAGTTAGCATATTATGGGTTAAACAGCAGTGACACTCAATAAAATATGCAATTTACTGTGTGACAGAGTGGTATTTTCCCCCGAAGGTTTCAAACCACCTCCACAATTTAACGCAGCAGGAAACTGTGAAATATTGAAACTACTTCAGTCTAGATATCTCTTAGTAGATTTACAGCAGAATCAGACAGCAGTGTCAGGTGAGATGTAGCGCCGCTCTTTAGCAGGGATTTTCCTGAGTTTACATTAAATCACAGGGGGAATCCTTTTTCACTATGACGAATCTCATGTTGTCGTGAGAGAAAACGGCCCGGCTAAAAGGATTTGGCGCGTCCTCATCGATGTTGACAGTGTAAATGAGAAAATGCGGACACTTCCCCGTGAACAGGAGCTTGTTTGTTTGCTCGTTTACCCTCACGTCGTCGCCGCGATGAGGTAGAGGAAGATGTGGTGGCTTTTCATTTGCCTCATTTGTGCCCACATGGTTGCTATTTTGGGACGCAGTCATTACATAAGTTTTATTTTGTTTTTTTTTCCTTCTTATTGGCATTCATGTAAAGCAGCAACCCAAATGCATGTTTTTTTTTAGCTGTATTACAGTGGTCGGGGCTATATGAAAGATAATAAGGATTTAGGGTTGGCTGTGAGCTGAGGGTATAAACATCTGGGCCAGTTGCAGATCCCCTCTACCTCCCCCCACTCTATAACTCCCACAACACATAATAAAGACAGGCAGGCTCACCCCTCTTACAATAACAACTGCCCTTTAAAAAAAGGGAGCTGTTACAGCGTGGACGCTCACATCCAGAGAAATGAGGACATGCTGGTGGGGCTCTGACGTCTGTTTCCATTCATACGTCGACGTTTTAAATCTGTCTGGAGGTGTGTCTGCGTTCGCGCATTAGTCAGTGACAGATAGACACTATATACACAACACACTGGCAGGGTTCCCGTAGGCCATTTATACAGTCTAATTTTAACGCTGCATAGGTGTCAGGAGGTATACGTGTATCCTCAGATTTAGAGGGAAATAAATCACAGACACTCAGAGCAGACAGGGTAAGTCCTTGTTGGTTCAGTTCGTACTCTCTTTAAACATCACCTGAAGGTGTTGTAAAGGTGTGTGAATGTACTCGAAAAGAAATCTGAACAGGCTACATGTTTTTTCAAATGTGCGAAAATGTGTAAACAGGTTAAAAGATCTCGAAATGCCTTTGAAGTAAGAGTTGTTAGAGCTGAAGCGCTGAAAGAAACTGAGCTAAAAGCTAAAAAATAAAAAATAAAAGTCAAAGAGGAAGATGTAAAAGGCGATAAAACGTAATGCAGAAACTGTCTAAAGCCATGAAAGCAGTTGAACTGTCAACCGAGGTGCAAGAGTGAAATAAAAGAGGCTTCAGATATTTGTGAAATGTTAAATGGTGGATGTTGAGGTGCCGGAAGAAAGCTGAATGGTTTACACTGATAGCAGTTAAAGTGTCGGTTAAAAGGGTGTGAAGTGGAGGCAGTTTTCATAAAGTGTTTTTATACACATTTGTAGGTATAATATCAGCAAAAGTTAATGGAAACGGCAAAATTTAAGAGCAACATTTAACTTACGTGACTGATCAGCTGTCTCCACTTCTTTCTTTCTTCTTACCAATATCTGCTGACATGAAAAAATAATCACTACTTGACTGATTGAAAACAATTCCTAAAGACTTTTCTCTGTTTAAAAGCTCAGTGTTAAGTTAAACTCAATGCAGCCGAGTGTATTTGCCAAAAAAAAACTTGTTAATGGAAATAAGCCTAATTCACATTTTCTATTTTTAAAATTGTTTGCAACATTTCACAAGTTTATTTGACAGTTATATGGAAACACAGCTTGTGTAACCCCCTGAAATCAGGTTGTCTGTCAGCGTAAGAGTGAAAAGCCAGTAGATGTCTTAGAAATAAAAGCATTTGAAAATAAGCAGCTGAGTGGCCACCTCAAAAAAGGTGAAAGTGACAGCTGAAGGTCGAGCAGAGGAGCTTAAAACAGAGGAAATATTAGCAGACGTCTGAGCTGTAAAGGTGCCAGAGAGTGTTTAGCTGTGTTGACACTGTTGATAGTTAAAGCTGGAGACAGCAGTTACACACAAAAAAAAGGCACATACCAATCACAGACATACACAATCTACTGATTCCATTCATGCATTTTAGTTGAACTCTAGTGGTGCCTGGAGGATTTGCAGTCGTCTTTTGATTTAGCAGCAGATTATTGATTTACAGTGATTTATTAAAGGCTTTTTACTCACAACAACAGTATCTTTAAGAGTGATTTAACATTTCCGGCTGTGTGCTTGATCCAACTCAGCATTCCTCTGCTCTTATGTATTAATAGGCGCCTCCCCTCTCTTCACCCTGCAACCCCCATCCTCCAGCTATTGTCCAGGGCCTTGTTGTTGCCCATTTGCCACAGTGTTGTAATTAACAGGAAGAGCTGACAGTGAAACTGATTGGAGAGTAAACAGAACTCTCAGCAGGGAGCAGTCTGATCTCCTCCAGCAGTCGTGAGAGAAATTTTCCACATGTTATTCGCGACATTGTTTTTGTCACTCGTATTAAATCAAATTTAATTTGGTATTTCTGAAGGAGAAAGTTAATTTGATCAGATGCGCAAGAAGAAATAGAGGGAAAAAAAGAAAAGCGCAGAATAGACATGGCCCATACAAAGCGGGTCATTGTTGTCTCGCTGGGATGTGTGCTCTCACTCTATTATCTCCTGGCTTCTTCCAAACTCCCAAATTTTCCTCAGTTAAGGAAGTCTGTGTGGAGCCTGTTTAGCTTTGTTAGGCATTGATCACGCAAAGCTGACCATCTGTGACGCTTGTTTTTGTAAAGCTGTGCGATAACGAACCTGAAATTTACGTGTTGGTTTTGAGAAGTCTGGGTGCATCCATGGACCAGCGAAACCACCTTCCCGTGATGAAATTGGCCACTTATAGAAAAATCTGTGTTAGATTTTTAATCCGATAAACTACCAAAGTCATATTATCTTGTGCTTTGCAGGAAGGTATCGCTATTTGGAATCCAAACATCCCAAATCTCTCAAATGTCTGAATGAATTTGCTCTCTGACACAGGAACTTGACCGTACGCTTACGAGGGCGGAAGAGGAGGAAGAACAGGAGGAAGCAATCGTCTTTATGTCTGCATACATGTGTTGCGCTTATGTTTGCGTGTGTTTGAGTGAAGGTATGTAGGAAACAGACTCCCGTATCCGGCTATTTCTGCCCTGCCTTGATAAGAGAAGGTGTTTCCTCTGCTGCCCGCACGACTCCACAGGGCCCATTGTGTGGAAGCAGTGGTGATTTATTATTGGAAAGTGTGTAATAAGGGTCCCTCGCTTGTCTGGAGGGGCGGTCGGTCTGGGCGACCGGAGAAAATCGGGACGGAAATGGGGTTGATGGGGCCGTCTGCAGCAGGATGGGTTATACTGTAAACTGGGAGGGGGGATGGGTGTTCGGTGGGGGCAACACAAAGGGATCTGGGTTAGATGTGGGAACCCCCCACTGCTCCAGCTGCTGCGCTGGGACTAACGCCACTGTCTGTCCGTCCCATAATGACATCATCACAGCATCCTGCGTGGTACAAAACAATCCGTCAGTTGGCACGGCGACAGGATTTTCATCAGGGCGCAGACGTACAGTACAGGGTGATCGTTATTGTGGGGAGTGAAGCAATGAGGGGGACGTCATTCCCCTCGGCGGCGGCTGATTGAACGGCACATTATAACGCGCACAAAGCCAATTGATGCAAGAAATAATGGCTGTTGTTCAGAGTAATCTATAAATGCGGCTTTATGTGAATGTTTGCATTCATCCAACTGTTCTTTTTTTCTTTGTCTTTTGTCTCTCGTTTGCAGCTGAAAAGGTGTCATCGCTGGGGAAGGACTGGCACAAACTGTGTCTCAAATGCGACCGCTGCAACAAGCTCCTGAATGCTGGAGGCCACGCTGAGGTCAGGAGCAGCACAATGAAACTCTATTCTTCTCTAGTTTTTTTCCTTCATTGATTCCATTTGTTTTCAGTTAGTTGAGAATATGATTTGGCCTACTGGCAATCAAAAGCCTGAAGAAACCTCAGATATAATGCAGTAATGTGTCATTTCTTTTGCACAGAGAAGCTGCAATCACAAAACATTATTTGTGCTCAGCAAGATAAATCTGAGGGCTTGCAAACAGATCGATAAACACAAAAATGTTGCACAGAACTCTGTGTTGTACCTGCCTTTTGTTGTGCCTCGACTGCATCACTTTACATCCTGAAATTGAAATAATTTTAACAGAACTTGCTGCAATATATCAATATAATCTAGAAAACACAGATTTTAATGATTGACGTTGGGATTTTTAGTTTTACAGCAGTATATTCGGGGGGGAAAATTGCAGGATTTTTCACCAAATGACTTGAAAAACTGTCGAATTGAATGATGTCATTTCAAGGAATGTGAAATGTTGGACTGGCTTTAAGGGATTTCCTCTGTTAACACAAGTTTCATTTTAGGTTGTTATGTTGTTTACTGTAGAAAATATCTGTACAGTTGAGTTGCTCTCTCAGGGTCAGAGGTCTACCATCCCCAGTGCTGCACTTCCCCAGCAGTTCATTGACTGTTATTGTGAAATTTAACAAAAGGAAGCAAGTGCTGCCTGGTTATGTATTGACTTTCTGACAGAATCTCACAGCTAAGTAGATGTTTTGGCCTTTCGAACCTCGAGTATTTTACACTCTCTCTTGGGTGAAACTTTAGGGAATGATAGACGGTGTGTAAGTTAGAAATCTCATGATGTTTAGGGCTATTTTTTTATCGTTTTATTTCACAGAAAGTGTGCTTGTTGTTCAGGAAATTGCTGAGTGCACAGCCTTTTCCTGCCTTGTTTTGTGTGTCTGGTTGCGTCTGTCAATATGTGTCGTCCTCGTGGGAATTTTAACCCTTTGCCCCTGCAGGATGAGCTGCTTTAAGATCCTTCCTCTCACTCTTACATAATCACACTGCAGGAACACATCTCAACATAGGTTTCTCTTACTGTGCACTGCTCACTATCAGCTCACTTCCCTTTGGGGATTTTCTTATCTTGCCCTTTTTATTTTGCCTTTCATGACCCCTGCCAACAATTCAATTTCACCCTGCCTGTAAATGGCTGAATATCACACACACACACTCCTCTCTGAGTCTGCTTTCTCTGGTCGAGGAGGACGTGATCTCCACCTCTTTGTACACAGAAGCGAGCTCCCTGTAGACCCCAGAGGATGCTGCTGTGCTGTTTAATCTCTGCATGATTACAGTAATGTAGTGACACAATCTCTCTGAAGCCCGGCGCTCTCTCGGCCCACCTTCCTTTTCTCCCCCTCCGTTTTCTCTTGCTCTCCGCGGACAGCATCCAAATCCCGCCTCGGGCTCTGCAGCGCCATGCCACGAGCCTGACTTTAGTCGGAAAAAACTCGATGCTTGATCATCGTCATGGAAACAGAGCGAGGCTGAGAGACATTTCGTAAGGGAAAAAAAAAATGTAAAGGGACTGTGTTTGATGTCATCTCAAGCCTGGTATGAGGAGGGTTATGAACTTAAGAGCAGCACTGTCTGCTTCTTTAAAAGGAGTCAGGGGGACAGGATGAAGCCCAGTGTGGTCTCATGTCTGTGGGCTAAAGGAGGCCAGCGGCTCCCTGAGGCTGGATGCAGAGAGGTGACGGGTCTCCGCTGCTGACCCTAAAAGATCACAGCTGTATTTACCACAGCACAGTTTTCCCTCACAACTCCGTGACTCATTTCTCAAATCACAACACGCAGCTGAAACATCTGGCCTTGATAAACATCTGGAAATGCTAATGGTCATGAAAATGTAACTGGTCAAATTTAAATATTTGTTTTGGTCTTTGGTCCATTTCCCCGCCAAAATAATTGGAACTTGCTTGCAGCTTCCAAAGTCAAGGATCAACTTCATTAGGCTCAATCTGTAAAACCAATACAAAATCAACAGAAATGTGTTCCTTGCTGCCTCTAAGCATTTTATTTCAACTATTTCTTGGTCTCAAACATGATCTCGTTGCTGTACAGAGCTTCCCTGGTTGACAGTAGGAACAGAAACTGTCAGTGGCTAATGCACAATGTCATGTCTGGGTGCAGACTTCTTCAAAAAGTAAACAGTTTTAAAGAAAAAAGAAAAACAGGACTCACGTGTAACCTGCAGCTAACTCCCTGTCGCCATAGCAACGTCACACTTAGTAAGAACCTAATGCGCAAACATAAAAAGTCATATTAATTATAAATAGAAAGAAGAGAAACAACAACAACAATCTTCTGCTCACCCAGAAAATTCCATCCACTAATGAAGATTGTGAGTTGTGGTTAGAAGCTCTGCAAAAAAAGCCACTAAGTGGATTTTGAGTAAAACATTGTTGTTATTGTTTTTGACACAAGTGGCCACAAAATATATAAACACAAAACTCAACTGGAAGTCTGGCAAAAAAAAAAAAAAAGTAGTTGAAACCATTTTTTTTTAAAACTTTCTGAGAATATTGGTGTCTAGTCAGAGGGGTCGAGTAAAGTCTAAGATGTCACACGATGATGGAAAGAGCTTTTCACACATACTAGTAGAACAATGTCAGAGTCCTGTTTGACAGTTAGGGGGGAAAAAAAAAACATCTCTGGCTCTGCTGAACAAGTTTATATTGATTTCTAAACTTCTTCGTTCTCTTCTTCCTCGTCAGCGCTTCCCACCTATTTTACCCGCAGCATCGTAACTGCAGAAATCTCGGTTAGAGGTTTAAATTGCACCAGTAGCACCTGACGAATCCTGGAGCTGCTAGCCTTAAGCAGGTGATGAAGAGCGGTGGGAGCTCTCACTTTTTTCTAGTCTTCAGCTCCGACCGACACGGACTCATTTCATTTGAAGCAGTGTATCTGACTTTATAGAACCTGGTCACATGTGCTGTAGTACCATTCAACTACTATCTGTAAACAGATTCAAATGCAAAATACTGCACACTTTCACTTCTTCTCCAGGCCTCCAAAAATCCCTTCGATTGTACAATCTGAGCAGGAAAACCTATCCAGCCTGTCTCCATTACCTGTGACGACGGAATGGGTCACAAGGCAAAAAGGTTGAGAAACTAAACCATTTAGAGGACAACGCATGCACTAAATGAGGCCATGTTTGAATAACCTGACCCGTACTGGAATGTTTAATGACATGTAGTGACTCTTCCATAAATAAAGGAAGTAAAATAAGAGTGAATCCACCTTCATTCTGGTGAGTCACGCAGCATCTTGGGTAGTGAGTAGTGGCTGAAGCAATGGGGATGAGGACAGTCAGGAAAGGAAAGAAAGAAGAATAGATGGAGTCGACAGATTTCAATTTCAGTTGAGGATGTGGGAGGTTAACTTCTGGGAACAGAGTGGGCTGAACTGCGATGGATAATCCATTTTTAGGGTCCCTCTTGATGATTCCGCAGCGATACTATACAGCCGACTGTTAACAGCAAACCCTTGACAGTGAAGCCCTCTGTGCCTCGGCCTGAGAAAGTCATCAGCTCTTAGTCACGGCATGCCATCAGCAGCCAAAACTTCACGGATCTCATAAATGTAGAACCAGAAGCGTTAAAGGAGTGCGTGGCTGCTTTAACAGTAGCTGATCCTGTCATGGTTAATGTATTATTAAAGGTGAGAGAACAGTCCTTTTTTTTCTGTCTTCTGAAGGAAAGGAGCTCAAGTGGCCAAATCAGAAGGGATTGTGGGTAGTTTGTGCCTTGTTTAACGCCAGGTTTCCTCCCTTTGCCACCCAAGGCCTGGCGCCTTGCCCACTCCATTGGCTTGATTCTTCTCATCTATGGGCATTGGGCTCTGGACCAGTGGCCACCCTGGCTCTCAGCCCTGATCCCCTACCCGAGGTGATCACATGCTCCTGCGATGACCGCCACGTTCCCAGCAGGCATCAGCGACAAGCCATCTATGTCTTGGACAGGGCTTTTTTTTTTTTTTCTCCCTTTAAGTGGAAACATGGGCAGTCACGCATGTGCAGACACGTAGCTCGCATTGAAGTGAGGCGCTGAATTCATCAACAGAGACCTGTTCCTTGGATACAGCCGCTGTCATTATTATGTGTTAAAGCTCCCCGTGACAATGACATCATCATTAGGCAGCCGTGAGGTGGAAAAAAAAAAAAGACGTCTCCATTTTTGGACACTATCTCTTTTTCTTTGCACCAAAAAAAAAAAAAGACCAAATAAATGTCAGGAAAAATACGATTAGCCATTTGCGTCAGTAGGTTTTTGTATCCTTACACGCCTGTTGAATCAGTTTATTTAGTCTGTGTGTCATGGTGTTGTTCTGTCTCCTCCACAGCACGATGGAAGGCCCTACTGCCACAAACCGTGCTATGCTGCCCTCTTTGGGCCAAAAGGTAAAGTGCAAGTCATTTTGCTCATTCATATTGTTAAACATCTTGTACATCAATACCTGTTTATGCAGCTTCTGAAGCCCAAGTGGTTTCTGCTCCTGTCACATTATTACTCACTGTGGGTTCATTTGTCACTGCAATATAAAGTCCTGCAGCTCTATGGACGGCGAACAACCAGCAACAACTAGAAGTAGAGACAAGCCAAAATGTGTTTTGTGCAGTATAATAATAATTCTAATGCCATAATTCATTAAAAATTATGAAGTATTTTGCAAAAGTTGAAAAACCATGGAATCGACACGTACAATAATCAAAACTAAATCAACTTTGTTTAACACAGCCTCCAGTTCAGCCTAAAAGTCCTTGAATTTTTTTGTCACACGTCAGTTGGTCGTAGTTATGTCACTAATGGTTTCAGAGCTGTACCATGCAGTGCAAACATTTTCTGATTTTTATACCATCTGGTTAGAGCAAATGCTTTGGTTTGGCACTTTTTCAAAGAGACATGTAGGATAAAGTGATTGTGATGAAATGTCACGATTTCAAACTCAAATTTGTTATTGTACTATGAGCATTGGAAATGTAAAGAAAAACCTAAATTATTCTTTATTCTTATTCTATAAAGACAAAACGTCTTTCAAACCCTCTGGTGGGTTGATATTAGAGATATGTTCATTGCTACTGATGTTAGCCAGTAGTTTTAATTTGTAACCAAAATTATTTGATACATTCATAACGTTCAGAATATTGAGACATCTATTACAAAGTTCCAGATTGTTTTATTCCTCCACATCCTCTCTTAAACATTTGTAGGTGTGAACATTGGCGGAGCAGGTTCCTACGTGTACGACACTCCGGCCAACAACAATCCGTCGGCCACTAGGGTGGATTCGGCCTCCAAAACTGAAGAGAAGCGAGTGTTCGCACCCAAGGCACCATCAAAAGGTAAACGAGCGACATGTATTTATACTGTATGCTCCTGTAGACGTTTATTTCCCTGAAGAATCGTATGTTTTCAGGGAACTGTTGCTCAGAGCAGATGACTCAGTGATGAGAAAATTGGTACACAGGGTCTTTTGAGACTTTATGGGGATTTTCTGAGATGTGTTAGACAGGGTGTGTGTGTCCTGGGAAACCCCTCACAGCAAGAACAAATTCAATTTAACTGTTTAGTCCTGCTGGGACGATTTCAGTTTCCACCCGCGTGATTGTTGTCCACAATAAATTAGAATTTACTACCTTTCCAGATAAATGGAGGCTAAATTTTTGCAAATGTGTGTATTGTGTATAGGTTGTATGTTAACAAAACCAAACCATTGTCTTTATCTTCAGACACCACTTGATTGGCTCCTGTAGAAGCAAGTGAGAGAAGTGTTTTGACTTGGCAACCTGAATATCTAAATTGCCAAGATTAGCCTCTTTAAACAGTAACTCCCTCTTGAAATATATAAAAACTGTTTAGTACTCGGCTCAATTTTATTTTTATACCCCTATATTATTATCCCACTGGATATTACACCTCACTGGAAAGACTAGTGGCCATTCATTGAACCATTTCTTTTACCTCGCCACTATTGTAACATTGCGTCTGTAATGTGTCGGCAGCTGGCAGCATCACCACTTTTTCCGGGGAGGCCAACCTGTGCCCTCGATGCAACAAGAAGGTGTACTTTGGTAAGTGGTTCCACACTTCCAGGAAATAGGGGCGAGGAAAAAGGTGGGAGCAAAAGGTGTGAACGTGCAAAGTGGTTGCCACAGTGTCTAACAATGTGTGTGTTTGTCACAATAGCTGAGAAGGTGACATCACTGGGCAAAGACTGGCATCGACCCTGTCTGCGCTGCGAGCGATGCAGCAAGACTCTGTCTGCTGGCAGCCACGCAGAGGTGAGAAAACAAGAGTTTTAAGGAGGGGGATACAGGAGAGAGAGGTGGAAATCTGAGTTTGAAATACTGATTAGAATTATACATATGTACAGAAGTAGAAATTGATGTAAAGAAGTCCAAAAAAAAAGTGCAGAAAGACAACAGATTGATCTTCTTGGATCTGATCTTGTCTTTGTCTTCGTATATAATCTTAATAATGTATAAATTGCTCATTTTAGCCTGATGGTTGCCTCTAAAGATGTCATACGAGGTTACTTGTTCTGCTCCATTTCTCAGCAAATCTCATTCACAGAAATGTCACACAAGACTAAAAGAGAGGAATTTCACATCGTGGAGCTCCAAGTCAGCAGAAAAACAACGTAGCAGATGCAGTTTATCAGTGTATTTAATGATATTAGAGGATCCATAGCAGTTAGATACAGTTCTGAAAGTGTTTGCTGTGACAGAAATGAAGAGGAACTGGTTTGACATGAAGTAAGATGCTAAGAAACAAGTCTTCAAAAGCAAAGCAATCCGTGACTAATGTGGGAATCAGAAATGATAAGCAGAGACATTAGACCAGAGAATGTTGTAGTCTATGGTAGGTTACACTATTGCCGAACAATTAATTGATTTGAAACGACGCAATAAGGAAAGGCCGCAATTCATGATGTGCAGCATGCCTGAACCACTGCACCGATTCATGCCTCCTGCTTGTGTGACCGTCATGCTTGTGGTGGTGTCTCATGCGATTAGACTCCATCACGTGTTTTCAGTTCTATACATCGTGAATATTGAACTGAAGCTCGGTTCGCACAGCTGAGAGCAAATTGGTGAATTCTGCAAGTTTTAGTCTGTGTTACCAAAGAATACGTCTGTTCTTATGAGTTGTCCTTTGAGGAATGAATTCAAAGGTCAAGGCACTGTTCTTTGTCGAGGTACAGAAGTTTAAGTCTTTAATCCTTTTTTTTAAAAATAGTGGCTAAAAGCAAGACCAAAGCACATCGACCACACACAGGCCGGCCTCAAGCCTAAATTCCACATTTGCACAGAAGCATCCTGTATGTTTATCACATCTATAATCATCTGTAGGTCTTGAAATGTCTTGAAAAGCTTTGACTTTAGTCCCCTACCCTTAAAATTGATAAGGAAAGTAGTAAAAAGTCTTAATACTGCAATTTACTCAGTGTTTACTCTTGTTTGCTGATAATGATCATGAGAATAAACGTACTACTCAAGTCTGGCTCAAATAAGTAAATCAGATTACCATTAAATATACGTCAAGGCATGAAAATTAACCACTAAAAAACATCCCACCTTGCCAACAGATGTATGTTTTGGTTACGGTGATATGATAGAGTTAATATTCAAAAAGAAAGTATACAAACTTACATGACAAGTCTCCACCAAACCAAGGTTTATGCCTACAAAGGGTCGTCCTACAATGAAATAAATGTCCATATTCAAATGAAATATATTTTTACTCATATTTTGAGAACCGCTTTAAAACTCCAGAACTCTGTACTGTACTTGGATCAGACTATCTACCAATATTTTTTTGTGATACAGCTACTCATACCTGCTCAATCAGTTATGAAGGTTCAATGAAATTGTATTTTATTTTTTTCATTTTTGTGACCACGTATTCTATGTTATAAAGTATTTTATAAGTTTAGTTTTGGATTATTGTCACATGCAATTAGAACTTTAGAAAGCAACTTTAGAAAATATCTGTAGTTGTAGTATTGTTATTAATTTGAGCTCCAAGATGAGGACTTTTCATAATGGCTTTCTTTTTTTTTCATCATACTTAAGCTCACCCATTATTAGAGATAATTTGATCTACTTCTCCAATATTGCAGATTCTAAATCACTGACATGATGAGAAATAATTAAAAATACTTTTATCTTTAATAGCTCTTGAGATATTGTCATTGTCATATGATATCTCACTAAGTATTTGATATGTCAAGCTAAAAATTTTCCAAATGTCTTTAGAAACATCCATATATTATGCTAGAAAAATCTAAGACAAATCCAAGGTGGCTGAAGGTAGAAAAAAATTAAAGGTTTGATGATTTGCGATGATCCAGTAGGTAATATCACACACCTCAGTCAGCACCATCAGAGTGTAGTCTAGCTTTGACGGAAATAAAAATCTCTCTCTCTCTTCCTGTTTGACTGAAAACTTTAAACCAGTAGTTACAGAATTTGCCTTTTCAGGTCTGTGTTAATGTTTGTATTTTCTCACTACAGCATGACGGCCAGCCCTACTGCCACAAACCCTGCTACGCTGTTCTCTTCGGGCCCAAAGGTAACCGCTAGGTGGTGCTGTCAACCCACCGATTATCAGCTACACTTGAAACCAAATGTCTGAGCACTTGATCTATGCTGCACACGTCACGCACGCACACACACGAGTGTCGTTTCATCACAACTTTGTATGCAGCTTCTTCAGCCGGAGGTTAACCACACAGGAAATGTTTTGCAACCTTTTTCCTGCTCATGTTGTACCTTACTTCTTGTCCTCTGTATTAACCCCTCTGACACCCGCTGCTGTCCCTGTGGTCTCTCCAGGCGTGAACACTGGTGGTGTGGGCAGCTACATCTATGACAAGGAGCCCAGTGCAGTGACCCAGCCTTGAACCTCTGTTCCCCTCAGCTTCACCCCTCTCTTCTCTACACAACACTGATCATCGACCACAGTATTATATTCATAGCCTTTTTCTTTTTTTTTTTCCTCTGTTCCCCACCTGTGCGGTCAAACCTGAGACAACCAGCCTTCTGCTCCAGACCCTCTCCTGAGTCCCCTGCTCTTCTCCTTTGCTCTGCCCCAGATCGGATTTAGCACCAGGAATGATTCATTGATTGCAACCGCTGCCTAGATGTGTGTTATTTATATTCAGGAGCACAAACACATCCGGCGTTCCCACATTAGTGCCGTCCTGTACTGCACACCAACAACATTTTAGCCACGTTTACACATTACTAAATGTATGTGAACACACTCAATGTCACCACGGTAAAACGTAAAGCTGTTAAATTTTGAATCTTTCACCCACAAAACGGCATGATCAAGGATGTCTGTAAGGTTTTTGGATGATAGGAGTGAAAGGGTGCATTGTGGGTAGAGAGAGGTGCGGTTCATTGACTGTGATGTGCTGACAGCTTGAGGAATTTCAACTCGGAGGCTGCTGCACGCACAGGTGGTGCACAGGAGCACGTTGCCAATAAATCCGTATCTTACAAATGCCATATTTACAGTTTGGCTGCCTGACGACATTCCTTATGTGGGGGAAAAATAAAGGAGATTTTTTTATAACAAGTACCTTCTGACATATTGTAAAAAGTTGAGAAAGTTGGATCTCTGAGGCGAGGGATTTTCAACACATCATGAGGCTGTATTTAAACATTTATTTGTACTTTTGAGAATCATGCAAATGACCTGTTTTAGGTCGGAATCTGGATAATAAGAGACGTTGTGCTAATAAATAACAAAGACATCTTGTCCCAATTGTTACACATAATACTGTTTTTAAAGTCTTTCTGAAAGGCAGAATGTGGGTGAAGTTTCGGGAGGATTAGACTGTGGATGAACATGTATTTATTGCTTTAACTCAAGTCCTTCAAATTCAGCCATTGTACTACTACCCCAGACTATGAAGGAGGTAAAACGAGGCAATGTAAGCTGTACAAATCTCTACGATCAAGATTTTTATTGTTATTTTCGATTAAGTAACCCTGCTGTTATTTTCCAAGACGACGCGCTATTTGAAGTATTTTTTTTTTTTGCCATTAGCAGATCCAGTAGTTTAGCTCGTAGAATGAAAGACACTGCAGACAAGTCATTCTGTAAGAATGTGCATTATTCTCGTATTATTATTGTGTTTGTTTGTTACCTGTTGTACATCGTAGGGCTTGACTGACACTGCGGGGCTCGTTGTTTGTAGAGTTCAGCTGCATTCGTCTTTTTAATCCCTTGAATAAATATTTCAGAAACTCTTCATATGTGTTGCTGTGACTGTTATTTCACAGATTCTGAAGTTATTTTTCTGTTCATAAATTGCAATCAGTGAACACTACATGTGGTGTGAGTTTGCTGCTTGTTGTAATTTGTTCTCAGGAGAAGCATTAACTGAACCACACTGATGACTACGTATCGCTTTACTGCAGGAACAGGGTTAACTAATGTGTCGCTCCCACTTCTCAGTAAGAGCCAATTAGTCATTTTTTTTACTTGCTCCGGTCAATAGTACACGACAGTAAATGCAAAACCTCTTTTTTCTTATGACCCGCCTGGTGCACCACTAAGAGGCTTTAGTCAGCCGCAAAGGGAACTAGCAGCGCGGAAATGACAAGTTAAGAAAAAAATGTTTTAAAAATGAAAACTTTGTTAATTGGGGGGATATTTGGTGAAGCATAATCGACATGTTTGCTTATCAAGTGGTCAAAAATAACAGGAAAATGCAAAGACCTCTGACTCATTTGTCCTATTGTACGTGGACTGGTCATGCTTATGGGTAGATGAAATAAACTTGTTCATGTCAGGTTTATTGCACTATAATTTAATTTGTCTTGCATAAAGACAAGCTCTAAATCTTGCATTCAGCTGTGAACTTGTCTCTTTTCAAGCCAGACTATTTGTCATTGTGTCTACTGTGGGTATTAGTTGAAGAAATACATCTACAGTGTTTATCTATGGTGGTTAAGCAAAATAACTGTAACCCCACATTAGTTGCCACTTCTATTTACCCACTTTATTTTACAGTTAATGTAATTTATTAATCATTAAGCCATTTTTGGTAACACTTCACTTCAAGTCCCCATATTTAGCATGTAAAAGCAGTACATAAACATCATAAATGTGGTATAATGTAGTTTTATACATATATAAGAACATTTTAAGTGCTTATTAATGTACAGAATTTGTCAGCAGACTTGTGAATACATATTTTAATGTATTATGAGCGTTTTATTATGTTTTCATTTATCTGTTTCTACACCAGCTTCCATTTATGACGCCCACAAGAAGAGCTTTATTTGACAAATACAATAATAACTTGATTACTAGGTTTTTCCCACATGGAGGAATTTTTGGAGCCCTCCAAAAGAGGTTTTGGACAGCACCAAAGGAAAATCCCCAGGGCCAAAACGAGAAGAATTGGGAACAAAAATAGCAGCTGAATCTTTGAACAAGTTACTTGAGGTTGCGTTTATTGAAGCATAATAGATGTTTTTGTTTAGCAAATGATCAGAAATGGGCTGCAGAGTGGAGCGGTGGTTAACACCGTCGCCTCACAGCAAGAAGGTCGCCGGTTTGCATCCCGGTGAGGACACCCAGGATCCTTCTGCGTCTAGTTTGCATGTTCTCCCTGGTGACTGGTTACCTGTCCAGGGTGTCTCCTGCCTTCGCCCTGAGTCAGCTGGGATAGACTCCAGCCCCCCACGACCCTAGTGAGGGTTATACTGTGTATAGGTAATGGATGGATGGATGGAAACTATCAGAAATGATAAGAAAATGGACAGATTTCTGTCAAATAAGGTAACTCTGACTCAGTGCCTTTACTCTACTTGGACTGATGAAGCATCCCTAAAGTTTAGTGTCGTATAAACATTTAAATTCACATTAAAGCTCATAAATATGGGGACTTGCAGTAAAGGATGGTGAAATGAACAAAGACACGCTCAAGTATGTTGTGATTAGAAACATGTTCATCTATATTGCTTTAAGAGTCAAAGATTGTTCTGCAAGTGACAAATTACAAAGTTTTCTAGAAATATTCCTTTGAACTTTGAGCCATTTATCAGTTTATTTTCAGGAAGCTTTTAGTAAATGATGCAGTGCATATTGTAAAACAAAGCACCACCACATCCTTCTCATATTCAGCTTGCAATGTGGACATTTTTTGTCCATCAGAGATAAAAACTGACCTTTTTATGGACATATGTATGTTGTATTTCATTCTATTGTTAGGTGTTCCTATTATTTTGTCCACTGCCCCCAGGCACAAGAGGGTAAAACTAGTAGCATCATGCAGCGATGAATGAGATCAGCTTGTCTCGCTTGAAGCTGAAAGCCACCCTGTCAGTATTTACAAGCCTGAAGGAAGAATAACTGCATGTTTGAAATGACTGGAAGGTGTCAGCTGCTTTGCCATTCCACACACACTTATCCAAATATAATGACTGACTCCAGCAAGAATGGCCTCGCTCTGCTGTGTGGTTTCAGTCTTACATCACCTTTTGCTGTACCGCAGGTGTGGTTGCACTGCTGCCGCTTGCACACACACACACACACACAGACACACACACACACACACTCACAGGGCTGCACAGTTGCAGCTCATGTCATCATTTCAGTCGTAAAATCAAAATATGAACTACCATTCTCCCTCGCATTCAGTCACTTTCAATTACACTGTGGAAACATCGTGGTACCGCTGTGCCGGGCCGCACCCTCAAAACGGTACGGTTGCTTGGATACCAAACAGATATCCGTACATACAGTACGGGGAGTCAGTTAACCGCCTACCGGTGAATTCTTCATTGTTTTCACATCAGCAGCGACAAACTCACACGTACTTTGGACCCAGCTGTGGCCGTGTGATGGAGTCGGCCAAATAAAACCATCTGCTGCCGGCAAAACTAGACACACAGGACTACAGTTATCACCACCTGTAGGATGGTTCAGTTTGATTCTAGTTTCTAGGACATAACTAATGTGAAAGGACAGGCAGTGTGATAACTCTAAGTCCCGTGTGTGTCATTTCTGTACATCGCTGCATATAATTCATGTGCAAACATACTTGCCAGAGACCCACCCCTATCCCAGCTAGTCTTTAGCTGTTATCTTAAACCCAGCTGGCTTTAATGCAGATGGTTCTGTTTGTCCTGCTGTAAATGTAGAACACATTCCTTGATGCCTGCTAAATTGGTAACTAGTGCTGCAAACCATACACAGCTTGAGCATGTTTTAACACAGAAAACATGAAGTAGATGATTTTGATAGCATGCAAAAATTAGATTCCCTCCTCTAGGGAGTCCTCGGGGTCTCAGCTGACACTGGGTGAGAGGTTGTGTAGACCCAGGACAGATGACTGGCCCATCACAGGGTGAACACGAAGAAACAGACAATCGTGAACGCTCATGTTTACACCTTTGGTCAATATGGTATTACAAGTAAACCTACGATGCATGTTTCTAGACTGTGGGAGGAAGCCAGAACGAACTCCACAAAGAAAGGCCCCAGCTGACCAACAGGTTCAAACCCAGAAACTTCTTGTTGTGAGGCAACATTGCCAACCACTGCACCCCTATGTCACATTAGTTTTCTTGGTTGATATGCTAACAAAGTGTTTCTCTGCCTTTCAAAAATGTACGTGCAGACAAGACTTAAAATACCAGTTTCAATTTTATAAATAACATGTCAAAATCCACACTAACTAACACTGAATGGAAAAGTGACAATTTCCTCGTAGCTCCAATATATCCGATACCTGTGCATCATAAAGAACGGAAGTGCCGGCATAGTAAGCAAACATGGATATCCCATGTCAGTCAAAGTCCACTGCTGAAGGTAATTAACCCACTATACTAAGCAAACACAGTATGTTTGAATCATTGCATGTCCAGTCTGCAGTGAAACAACCATTACTCACTTTTATCACAGTGTTCAGCTGTTTGCCTGCTAGTATGGGGCTCTTTGATTAAAATAATAATAATAATTAAAAATAAGATTGAAAATGTTTCTTCCTTTTTGTTTTTTTGGCTGTGGATGTCTAGTCTCATGTTCTTGTGCAAGACATGAAACAATCTGAGAAGGAAAATTCTCTGAGCTGCTCCCAGGTCATGTTCATATTAAAGAGGTCAGAGCAGACGGTGCTTCACTGAAGGATAAAGCTAAAGAGGTTCAAACACCGTCCTGTGAACGTGTTTTAGGTGTAGAAAGACCAATGAACCCTCTAAGACCTAACTGTAGCTTGAAAATTCAGAGGGATTCAGCAAGTAAAGTGATTCTGCATTAGAGGTGTCAGATTTGGGAATATCTGCTTTTAAAGTAATGTCTTTCATAACGGTTTTTCCAATAAGAGGCTATCAATTCCTCCCTGTCTCTTTTTTTCCCTTTTGCACCATTTCCTCTTCATTGAAGGGAGCGAGACTTTGTCTCACATCATAAAACAATATTTCCACCATCTACCGTTATTCCCTAAATAGATCCTGCATACTTCCATTGACTCAACCCATCTAACAGATGTCCACAAGCTTCAGCGAAGTGACCAAAGCAGCCATGCTGGAGAGGAGTAGAGGTCACTTTTATGGAACTGGCACAAATCTCTGGGGATCTCTTTGTCACTTTCCCTGGCAGGCCATTGTACAAACATTAAGCAGCCGCTTCCCATGACTAAAAGTGGTTTGCTTTTAAATTTGGGCTTGTTGCTAAGATATTCAGTGCTGAAACTTATTTTAAACTTAACCAGTGATGACGTGCTACCTCAAAGAGTGTATCATCAATATTTTGACAATAGCAGTGTAGGCGCACAACTTTATTGTTGTGTTTCTCGCTCAGCTTTTCATCAAAAGCTCTAAGAAAAGAAATACCAAACAGCAACGAGGGACAGTTAGCAACCAGCTGGTAAACACAGTGGAGCATTTAAATGGAAACAAGAAGATATTTTCCATCGGGCAGTGGTGGAGACCAAAACTGGAGCTAAAACAGAGTAAATGTTAGACTAGTGTTCACCAGGTGGCCAAAACAAAACGTTGCTCTCTAACTGCTGGATGTGTAAATAAGCAACTGTTGTAACAACTTTAATATGTTAGCTTAAAAGGTCATTGTATTTATATTCACTAACCCTATACAAAGTTATTGAAGGTTTTCAACCTAATGTTTTAGCTTTGGGTGGTTAAAATATCCTTGTTCGAGTATTATTTATGCACAGAATTTATTACACAGAAAAACTTAGGACTGATACATTTATTTCTATGCACATTTTTGCTTTGAATA